TGGCTGCACCTGTTGGGGTTTCCGTTCCGTTTATCAATTTGGATAATTTTTTAATTTCGATGACTTTTTGACCTGCCAATCCTTCAACTAATTCTGTTTCCGTAAGGTGAATTATGTTTTTTGAAAAAATTCGGCCTTGTGTGGAGTTCAGGCTCCTGTGGGAAGTGATTTTCACTGGTACTAAATCGATGTGTGTCGCTTTAATAAATTTATCGGCTGCCTTTAAGTTGCTAACTTTGATAAGTAGGTCTCCAGATTTAAGTTCCGTAACTTCCGTATAATCGGTGCTTATGTGTTTGAGCCCTTTTTCAATTTGAAAAACATTGTATGAAGCTAATGGACGTGTTACCTGCGCTATACCAGTAGCAGTTTCTCCAATTTTTGGACCTGTTGCTGAAGCAATAAGATACCGTGGAATATGGTCGTTGTTGTTGTTGTAGCAGCATACAAATTCCCCAAAGACTTTTTGGGGAGTGTTGCTGGAGTGACAGTCCTTGGCCAGATATAAATCTGGGTCGTTCCGGTTACGTAGACCCGACTGTCGTGGGAACGTGGAATATGGTCGTCGTTCTGCGTAGTTTCCGGAAGTGGTGTGAAATCATCAGTCCTTAGTCGTTTACCGTGAGTCTTTTTGCCAGAGAGGTTTACATCGGGATCTAGGTCTCGGAACCTATTCCTGTTGGGGGGGTGAACCCCATTCATTTCGCCGTGTACTAATCAGAGTTTTTGAATTTTGCACTATGTGTATATGTGTATATGCACTTATACAGTACTATATTATAATTACGTAGCAAGAGAGAAACTGAGTTAAACCGTATTTAGTCAATCAATGATAGCGGTAACAAGCAGGTCTTAACGCGGCAATTGCCTGAGCTAGACTCATGTTTTATTATATTTTTTATGAAAAGCGTAAATTTTGTGAATTTATCAAGCCAAATTCGAAATTTCCGAATTTAAAAAAAAAGGTTTGTATAGCTATACAGACCCCAATGCCTGCCAGCGCATCCGCCCAGATAGTCCATTAAGTACACCCAAGTTTTAGTGATCTACAAGTTACAAGCGTTTTCAGCATTTAACAGTTCATTACCATGTACGGTGTAATATTAATTATTTTACACTGAACTATGAACTATCTGTACTAGTATCTATAATAGAGAATAATTTGCAAGGTTTTTACAATTTTGCAATTAGTTTCGGGCACTACTATACATTCATGACTTGTGCCACTCTGCCTTAGTACGGTTGTTGCTCCATTTCATACCACAGTAATTTTGTATACAACTCTGAATCAACAAAATGCATGCTTCTTCTTATACGTGAGGAACAGTATCTGTTCATATTTCAACAAAATTTGCAAGATGTAGTCGAAAAAATGAGAGTTTCTGCTGAAAAATCACCCAAAACACACTGCACATATTCGCAAAGACTGGATACAAAAGCAAAAATTTGCTAATTTCAAATGACCTCCACAATCCGTGGACATGAATCTCATTGAGAATTTGCGAAAACAACTAAAAGCACAGCTTACTAAGTATCCAAGTCCGTAAAATCGAGTACATGAGCTGTGAAAGCAAACTAAGGATATACCTCCAGAATTTTTACAGAGATACAAATAAGGTATGCCAAATCGGTTCCAGGAACTGAAACAAGCAAAGAGTACTGAACATTGTGTTAGTAGTTCTTTTTTTCGTGAAAATTGTTAAAAAGTTCTTAAAAATGTATGAGTGCAAAACTGTACTGCCTTAATTTACATTTTTGTCAGCTGGTTTTTTTATTGTTGTATTGACTTCAAATCGTTATGAGAGAGGGAGTAGGGATGTACCAACAAGAATATACAACAAAAGTATGAAAGTCGTTAGAACTTGGAAAGATAGCGATGGCTGAAGTAAAAAGTGTTACACCATGTTACAGTTTTGTCCGTCACTGTACATAGGAATACAGCCCAACGGTCCTCATCAAATTCTATATCACGTCATGTCGTAGAAAAAGTTAAATTATTTGAAGTTGTACAGCACAGCAGAAAAGACGCAGAGATAAACACAAAATTTTAAAAGTATAGCGTATTATTCGCATACTAAAAAAATTGTGTTTTATTAAAAACTGCTATCGCACGCAACAACTCCTTTTCATGATATCGCTCTAAAAGAAAGCGTTTGCATCGCTGTTTTTTTTACCTCTTCATTATGCATTTTCGTGTTGCAAATCTGAAACTCTCGAGTTATAAATTATAAAATTGCGATGTTTTCAATGAAATAAATCGTTTTACGATTAGTAAGCAGTTTAAAAAACTAGTTAAGTTTAGTAATGCTAATACTAGCTGTTAGCAACCCTGGTAGTTGCTGAAAGTGGCAACGCCGCGAATAAGAACTGCAACCAACTTTGATATGTTTTTCTCGTCGGCCATTACATGACAGAAGGATTCCAGACAGCGCGCGAACAGAACACAAGTGTAAAACGCTCCACGCTTCACGCTTAAGCTTCAACCTACAACGTTCAGCCTACGATTTCTTAACAACTTGCCGACTGCCGTTTAATCCTTCGTATTTTATATGTTTTAAATGTACAAGTTACGCGCATACGTGTTTGTCAAGTCGAAACGTTAATAATACATTTTTATACAACGCAAATGTCTTTACTTTATTCGTTTTATATCCTTTGTCGGTAAGCAGAAGCAGTTCTTACACTTCAACAACTTTTACACTTGTGCGCTGTCGGTGAAAACGAATAAATTTGGTACCGGAGGCCATTTTGTATGTCTGAAACCAACAGATATTTCTTGCGGAATCGGGCTGGTGTTACGAGGAGTAATCAAGGGAGTGAATCAGAGTCATCGTTTGAAAGCATGGAGGGTCAGCCAGGTGCAGCCGCAGAAGACACCGCGAATGCTATAATTGCCACATTGAATGCGTTAAGGGCTTCCGTAGAAGAGCTTAGACAAAGCACTGCGGAGAGTCAAAGAGACATCATTAGGCTTCGCGAAGGCATGCAACCACAGAATGTTCCAGAACAGAGCGTGCAGCCAGCACAGCGTGACAATACTCAAGCCGCCATATCACCGACCGACTCGCAAATAAAACTTTACGATTTGCCTGTGTTCAGCGGCAATGTCGAAGACTGGCCGCTATTTTTCGCGAATTTCAACGACACCACGGAAAACTTTGGATACAGCCACCGCCAAAACCTTATGAGGTTGCAGAAGTGCTTAGTTGGTCCCGCCAAAGAAGCTGTCGCCGCCATGCTAATTTACCCGAGCAACGTGCCGAACGTCATAAGCGAGTTGGGAGTTCAGGTTCGGGCGACCCGACATTTTGGTTAAATTCCAAATCAGCAAACTGCAGAATTTCCCGCCAATATCCGATAATAAGCCGGAGCAGATTGTACCGTTTTCCTCAAGAGTGAGAAATGTTGTTGCATTTCTGAAGTCTGCAAATTGCCAGCAGCACTTAGCTAACGTAACATTGTTAGAGCAAATGGTGGGTAAGTTACCGCATACCCGACAGTTCGACTGGGCGAAGCATGCTGCGACTATACAACCGTATCCATCAGTTGAACATTTTTCTGAGTGGCTTAGCGAGTTGGCTAGAATAATTTGTCTTATGCCGACAAACAACACACAGGGTGGCCGGCAGACTGCATCGTCGGGCAATCATCGTCGGCTGATGCATATTGAGCGGCCAAGGGACTCACTTGCTTGCTATCAGTGTAGTGGTAACCACATGCTTGCACAGTGTGAATCGTTTAAGGCAAGCAGTATTCAAGAGCGGTGGGACCTGGTTAAGGCGCAACAGCTTTGCTTTTCGTGCCTACGCAAGGGGCATTCCACGCAAAAGTGTCGTTCAAGAAGGAGGTGTAACATAAGTGGCTGCCAGGGCTATCACAACCAGCTACTCCACAACGAAGATGCAACAATGCAGATGCTACGCCGAACTACACCAGAGGACGTCATTGCGCAGCCACTACTGAATTGTCAAGTAACACAAAGCGCACATGGTCAACTGTTTAAAATATTGCCAGTCAACATATATGGACCGAAAGGTAAGCGTGAGATATTAGCGATGTTCGACGAGGGTTCGTCAATTTCAATAATGGAAGAGGAAGTGGCCAAGATGATCGGAGCCCAGGGTGGCTTGCATCCACTTACGCTGCAGTGGTATGACAACAACGTTGTTACGGAACAATCGCATAAAATCAGCATCGAAGTTGAGAACTGCGCAACGAAGAGGAAGTTTCTACTGAAGGAGGTATATACGGTGAAGAACCTGAACCTGCCTAAGCAATCTATGGCCAAGGAAAATTTTCAGCATTTGAGAGATTTGCCGATAAAAAACTACAGTCGCGCGAAACCAGCTTTGCTCATCGGGCTAAAGCATGCACACCTGGGTGCGACCTCAGCAACAGTGCAAGCCGACATCGACAGCCCGCTAGCTGTAAAAACGCCACTAGGCTGGGTCGCGTACGGCCCAACCAAGCTACCTACAACCTTGAACCCCCGTGATTTGTTGGTGAAAGAATATCAGCAACTGCACGACTTAGTACACGAGTACTTCACAGCAGACAGCTTTAGAGTTAACCCGCCAGCAGTGCCATTGGAGTCAGATGAAGACCAGCGAGCACGTGAGATATTGCGCCGAACAACAAGACGAGTAGGTAAGCAATATGAAACCGGTTTACTGTGGAGAACATATCCACCGAAGTTGCCAAACAGCAAAACAATGGCCGAGAAACGCTTACTGACAGTGGAGCGCCAAATGAAGAACGATGCCGAGTTTGGTGCACGATACCGACAGGAAATGGCTAAGTACGTGAGCAAAGGGTATGCCAGAAAGTTAAGCCGTGACGAAGCCGGAGAGCCACATCAAAATGCTTGGTACTTACCTCACTTCGCTGTATTCAATCGACATAAGCCCGAAAAGACGCGACTCGTCTTTGACGCCGCAGCCGCAATAAGCAACGTGTCACTCAACTCGCAACTAATGAAGGGTCCGGAGCAAGCACAGCCGTTGATACGGATTTTGCTACAATTTCGCCAAGGACGTGTCGCAGTGTCAGCAGACATACGCGAAATGTTTTCGCGGATCAAGATACGCGAAGCTGATCAGCACGCTCAACAGAGTATGTGATGACGTCGCTAATTTTCGGCGCTGTTTGCTCCCCCTGCATCGCCGAATATATAAAAAATAAAAACGCCGAGGAGTATCGGGCACAGTTTCCAGACGCCGCAACGACTATAATTAACAAGCATTATGTCGATGATTTAGTTGCAAGCTTCGACACGCCTGAACAAGCCATCAGTATCTGCAGCGACATTGTCAGCATCAATTCACAAGCAGGGTTCGAGTTACGTAACTTCGTCTCCAACTGCGAAGAAGTAGAAGATCGTTTGAATCATTCGTCATTATCCGCGAGAGAAGTGGTTAGTCTGGAACGCAACGAGTCAGTGGACAAAGTGCTTGGCCTCTTCTGGAACACTAGCGATGACGTTTTCGAATTCCACACGAAGTTCCACCGTTTGCCGAAAGATGTCCTGCACGGAACGCGAGCTCCGACAAAGCGAGAGTTGTTACGAATCGTGATGTCGGTGTTCGATCCATTTGGTATGTTAGCAGCATTTTTAATTACTACTAAAATTCTCATTCAAGAAGCGTGGAAGTGCGAGATTACTTTTACACTTGTGCGCTGTCGGTGAAAACGAATAAATTTGGTACCGGAGGCCATTTTGTATGTCTGAAACCAACAGATATTTCTTGCGGAATCGGGCTGGTGTTACGAGGAGTAATCAAGGGAGTGAATCAGAGTCATCGTTTGAAAGCATGGAGGGTCAGCCAGGTGCAGCCGCAGAAGACACCGCGAATGCTATAATTGCCACATTGAATGCGTTAAGGGCTTCCGTAGAAGAGCTTAGACAAAGCACTGCGGAGAGTCAAAGAGACATCATTAGGCTTCGCGAAGGCATGCAACCACAGAATGTTCCAGAACAGAGCGTGCAGCCAGCACAGCGTGACAATACTCAAGCCGTCATATCACCGACCGACTCGCAAATAAAACTTTACGATTTGCCTGTGTTCAGCGGCAATGTCGAAGACTGGCCGCTATTTTTCGCGAATTTCAACGACACCACGGAAAACTTAAAGTGGCAACGCCGCGAATAAGAACTGCAACCAACTTTGATATGTTTTTCTCGTCGGCCATTACATGACAGAAGGACTCCAGACAGCGCGCGAACAGAACACAAGTGTAAAACGCTCCACGCTTCACGCTTAAGCTTCAACCTACAACGTTCAGCCTACGATTTCTTAACAACTTGCCGACTGCCGTTTAATCCTTCGTATTTTATATGTTTTAAATGTACAAGTTACGCGCATACGTGTTTGTCAAGTCGAAACCTTAATAATACATTTTTATACAACGCAAATGTCTTTACTTTATTCGTTTTATATCCTTTGTCGGTAAGCAGAAGCAGTTCTTACACTTCAACACTAGCTGTTGTGCAAGTAAAGTTTATGCCTCGACTAAAGTTTGGTATACAGAATTGGCTAGTTGAAAATTTCGACCACTGCATTTGATCCAGTGAAACGTATTTTTAAGCAATTGGATACAATGCCTTTTAGTGCCCAGTGCATTTGCATAACAACCCACCACATTTAACTTTGTTTTTGGTACCATATCCAGCCAGGTATACATAACTTTTATTTGCAAGTAAGGAAAACCTAAGGTCTTCTTTTTCAGTGTTTTTATTGCACGGTCAACCGCTTTTCTACCTCCAAGGTTGACCAAGAGAGCCACATTGACCGGTGCAAATTTTATGGAGAAAATGTTGCGGTCATCGACCACCTCGCAATTGCCGGAAAGAGTTAAAAAACTTTTATTCAAATGCCAAATGCATTACCGCATTAAGGATTTAAATAAATCCTCAAATAACTGAGGTGTGTGTAACCGACAACATTTAGAACCCTTAATTATAAAATATTATTTTTAATTATATCTACTCAAAACGAGGGAACATTTTTATTTCGTTTAGCTGATTTCCTCTTTACAAGCTTTTATTTAACTTGCTCATCCCGCGGAAAAATCTAATCGATTTTATTTTTTCATTGTAAGAAACCTCCAAAATCTCCAAAAAATTAAGCATTGAGTTAGTTTTCGAAATTAATAAAGGTACAAAAATACTTTAAACTTCCATATTAATCTAAAAATAGTACGAAAACGGAGTAAAACGGGCCAAAATTTTTCCCCATTTTCTACTACCTTAAAATGCGTTCCATCATGATTCGGGTGTAGATTTTTTACTCACTAGTAATGGGGAGGGAGAGGACAATGTTTGGTGTGTCATGAAGAAATCGCACGGACGACAAACTTTTTTGTTAAGCGCCATTATAGCGCCATTTCCCCTTATTCCCAAATATTGAATTAATAAATTATTACGTACATATGCACATAAATAAAAAGATGAATTTAAAATATAGCTAAGAAATTCCTTTTCGGTAATTCTCTAGGGTGGGATAACAACCCCTAAAAAAGGTGCGGAAAAGTCGGGAGGGGTACCAAACTACGCGTTTCGGCCCCCTAATAACAATCCGTAGGGGGGAGATAATATTATTAACCATTTAAAAGTTATGAACAAAAAACTTTTGTTAAATTTCGTGGTTTTCTGTGAGCAATTACCACGTCAAAAATGCACTAAATCACCAGTTTCCACTTTTAAAACACTACTAAAACGTTTCCGGTTATTATTTTATGCAAACCAAATCATTTATTCACTTTTATTTTATATATTTCGTTAATAAAACAGAGTAAACAAACTTTGCGCCTGCTAAAATTATTATAACCTCACATCGCTGGCATTGCCACTTTATTTCACATTTCATTTGCGCTATTATACTCAGTTTACACTATACACTTCTTCTTCTTTTTACTTTCATCTAAATAAGATATTGTAACCAAAATATAATAGCAAATTTCGCTATACCATCGCGCGATTTTTTATTAAAAATTTTCATTATTTATCGAAGTATTGATTTTTATGGAAAAAGCGCCGCAGGCGAAAATTTTTATAAAAAATTGCGCGATTTTTTATTAAAAATTTTCATTATTTATCGAAGTATTGATTTTTATGGAAAAGCGCCGAAGGCGAAAATTTATTTATATATATATTAAACGAAAGAAGATACCGAAAAGCATTGAACAGTGCACACATCTCATAAGGAAAAGTGAATTATTACGAAATACTAATACAGTGGCAGCACTATAGCTATTTTGGAATCTCGCGTTTCAGCTCGCAAAGATTGTCAACTTCTTTTTAATAACAAAATAATCTATCTTAGGTTGATAAAACTATGTGTTTCTTTAATAAATAAGTTAAATTATATATTTGAATAGTGTTTAAAAAGTGAGAACAGGTGATTTAGTGAATCTTTGTCGGTGAAATTGCCCATAGAAAACAACGAAATTTAACAAAAGTTTTTTGTTCATAACTTTTAAATGGTTAATAATATTATCCCCCCCCCCCTCCGGATTGTTATTAGGGGGCCCGAAACGCGTCGTTTGGTACCCCTCCCGACTTTTCCGCACCTTTTTTAGGGGTTGCTACCCCACCCTAGAGAATTACCTCCTTTTCTTTTAATTCAAAATAAGAAGAATAATACAAATTAATTAGACTATTTGCTTTAATTTAATTTTAATTATAATAAGAAATCTAAGCAAGCAATGCAAGTGAATTAAATTATATTAAAAGGTTAATTCTTTAGTATTATATCTCCCTTTCATACTATTTACAAATTCTGCACGAGCACAAATTTGCAGGAATTTGCAAGTTTCCCTGCCAGCTGGTGCCACGGTTGCATTTCAAACATATTAAATTTTTGTAGAATTTTTAAGATTCTTTCAGATGGACAAAAACAAGATATACATGTATATTTCTTGTTGTTCTGACTTTCTTTAACATACATTTCAATTTCTTCATCGTACTAGCTGTCGAGTTTCTTAAATCGACTCTAGTTGCAACTGCATTCCGATTGCGAATACAATTCTTTTCAGCCGAGTTAAGTTCAAATCATTGGAATTAACTAAATTAATTATATCAACAAGTATTTTTTTCATTTTAAATTTAACGAACTTATTTATTCAAATTATCGTAGACAAAAATGCAACCATGCGCCACAATCACATGTTTTTCGTTTTTGCAAATTTTCGCTGGCAAAATTTCTTCTAGCCAGAATTTGCAACTTCGCTCCAAGAGAACTGTCACTTTGCTCTCACAATTTTTGAGTGTTGGATAATTTTTTGGTCTGCATCAACGCGATTTGGGCAAAAATCATGATAATTCGTACAAATTCGTACAAATTTTTTGCTCGACGAACAAACCTATTGACTACACAGTAGCAAAAATTGCTAAAAAAATTGGTGTTATGAAAATATCATGTAAGTACTTAGGAAGGAGGTATAATACTCTGGGCTACAGATCTATAGTTGAACCACATTTCAAATACTGTCCAACACCACAAAGTATCACCAAGACAAAAATCACCGACATTTACCTACCTGCAGGCAAAAACTATACAAAGACAACATAATGGATGTTAATATCGAGACAGCGAAGTTTAACCTATTACCTGCTTCTGAAATAAAAAAGGACACCATGGCATTTCTAATAATTAATTATCGACGAAAATCACATTACCTAAGATAAATGAACATAAATTAAGGACAAAAACTCGTACCAGACAGAACGAAAAATGGCACTGAAGATGGCACAATGCCGAAACCGGTTTGTCTGCAAACCAAACTTGACAAGGGATGACGGAAATTCGTTCCAAAGTAAATCAACTGTCCAACAATCCTTTTTTATAGCAAGTGACACACAAATAGAAAAGCTTCAAAAAATGCAAAATAGGGCTATGCGATTTATCTTGAACAAGCGGTACGACACACCAACACAGGAAATGATCGCAGAATTAAACTGGCTGAGAGTGAAAAAGTAACTTGTTTTTAAAACGCTATGAAATTCGTGTTTAACATAAAACAAGGTAGACTTCCAGATTATCTGAGTGATATCCTACGATATAATAGTGAAATCCATTCGTATTTATTCAGGGAAAATAATAGCTGTATAAAACGGAAATAG